TATCAAGTAGTTTTGTATAAACTCTTAACTATATTTTACCTAATAAAGATAGAGGCAAGACCTCACCTCAACCTATGGGTTGAAATTTCAAAAAAAAATATACAAATCTATTCTAATTATAGGATCTAATGATTAGATGTTTATGATTTTAGGCTTGTTAGAATTGTCTCATTTAGAGAATCATTTTGGTAGTTAAATTATTAAAATTAGTTCAGTAGATCAAAAGTTATTTGCTATTAAAAATTATAAATACTTTTAATTATAATTTTTAATAATTATAAAATTTGATTAGCTAATTTAGATATCAGATAGAAGTGAGTGGAAGTAGCTACTTAGTAAACCTTAATCATCTGATTTCTGAAAACTCTCTAATATCTGATGATTTAATGTAACTTAACTTATAGGATTACAACTCTTAAAAACAAGTAAAGTTTACTATACTAATTAAAATTTAAAGTTTAGATATATATTCAAACTTTATCAATAGTAGAATTTGAACTCTAGATCTCTGTATGATAGTCTAGTAACCTAACCACTACACTAAGATTATCAAATCTTGCTATTTAAAATTTTTAAGTAAATAAAGGAACAATTTGCATATAAAAGAGACTAAAAAAATTTTTTTTATCATAGATAATATAAAAATAAATCTTGTAACTTTGTAAATATTGTTAGAATAAACTAATTAGTATTTAAAATTTTTGATAAAAGAATAAATACATTTAAAAAAAGTTTATATTTAATAAAAAAAATCACAGTATATCAAGATTCATATTATTTCTGATTGGCTATTTATGCATGTATAGTCATGTATAGATATTTAGAGAACATATGTGATATGCAAATAAATACACCCAATGATAACTAAGTTGTATATGTGATTTGTTATATATATACTTTTTATGTAATTACAAATAGTAGAAATTATCAATATATAATCTCATATGGTATATGTAGCCTAGAACTAGAGTCATATGATATTAGTAGCCAATTTATAGAAAAAAGATATAGTTGTAGTAATTGGCTGTAAACTCGAATATTTCTAAACAGAAAATTATTAAATATAAAATATGAGCATGCCCTTTCTTAAAATTTCTGAAATTGTAAAATTTAATAAGTCTGTATCTATATTATCAATACAATATAATACAAGGTTAATTGTGATGATTACAGATTATATGAAGATAATACAAAGTTAATGCAATGTTAATATAATGATAATTATAAGTTAATTAAATTAGTAACAGAAAAAAAAATAAAATAAAATATAAGAGTGTCTTAATTTTTTCTATCACTTTACTATTGAAATGAAAAAAAATTAATTAATAAAATAAATATTCCACTAAGTAAATAATTAGTACAGCCAATTAGAAGTAATGAGGTAAATTAGTAAATTCAAAATATAATATGTATTGATTATACAAAAATGACAGCAACTATAGTTAGAGCAAAAATAATAAATAATATAACAATAGAGATAGTCTAAGCTCAAATTTTGATTTAATTCGATGTTGAAGAGTGACAAAGTTATATAGTTGAAGTGTAACAGAGTGAATTGAATGAAGAGAAAAACTTTTATTATAAATACTAGCATTCTTTTAGATATATCATCGTTATTAGCTAAGCAGGTTAAAGTTAAACTTGTCTATTAAAAAAATAAAACAATTGAAAAAAAATAAATAAATAAATAAAAAAAAAATAAAAAATAAAATAAAAAATAAAATAAATAAATAAAAAAATAAAATAAAATAAAATAAAAAAAATAAAATAAATAAATAAAAAAAAAATAAATAAAAAAAAAGAACGTTAAAACTATTTAATAATTAATTCATACTTCAAATCAATTTAATTGGTGATTCGCGTGTCACCTAGACAAAAACAATAAACAAACTTAGTGTAACGTGATGTAGATCACTATATGATTTATATAGATAGTAAAAGTAGAAATGACGAGTATTTAAAGACATTTTTATATATATCTCATGATATATTAAGCCAATTTTAATGATTTAAGTACCATTTAAACCGTCTCAGTGAGCTCTACAACTTTATTTATAAGCCTAAAGAAAGTTTACTTAGTAAAAAAATAAGTTTTCTATATAATAACTTAAAAATTTCAAAAATTTCTACTTTTACTATATATGTAAATCATATAGTAATCTGCGTCACGTTACACTATATTGTTTTGTTCAGATGACTCACAAATCACCAATTAATTCTAATCACAAAGTTTTGATTAGAACAATTAGAATTTTACCCAATTAACTTATTTTATTTTTATTACTATTACTTGTCTAAACAAATGAAAGTAGCAACTTAAAGCTACTAGGGCCAATAAGCATGCAAAGCATGCAAATTATGAAAATTTGAATGACTATATTTGGTCAAATAATAATATTAATAAAAGGTTTTCTGATTATTTTGCTGTTTTATTGATAGTAGATAAAAATATAAATATTTAGAAACCTTCAAGTAGAATAATATATGTTAGAGGTTCTAAAAGAACTTAAAGATACAAAAAAGCAGAACTAAAAAAGGCTGTATAAAATACTCAACTTATCACTGCGTACTTATCCTCTGCCTTAATATCTTCTAACATTGCCTCAACTTCAACTTCTACTTTTGGATTATCAACAGAATTATATATACTAACTGAAGTAAAATCAATAAAAAGTAAATCAATAGAGATAGAATCAATTGAGGTGAAATTGGTGAAATCAATGGAAACAAAATTAGTAGAATCAACAGAGGCAGAATTAGTAGAATCAATGCAGATAGAATTAGTAAAATCATTAGAGACAGAATTAGTAGAATCAATGGAGGTAGAATTGGTAGAACTAACAGCAGATGCATTAGCTGAAATTAATAAGAAAACAATAATGAAATTAGCAATTGAGGAGCTAGATGAGTTATTAAAAAAAAAATAACAATTAAATAGATAAAGATATAAGAGTTTGTTTGCAAGCATTATTGCAATATTTATGATTAAGATACTATTATGATTAGACTAAAATAAAAGCAAGTACAACGATTGCTAGTTCATTAGAATGAAGAGATTATAAAGTATGATATATTTGTATATAGTTACAAAATTAGTTAAAGTGACAAAAACTTCCTAAAGATAATCATGACAAATTCATAAAAGTATCAAGCCTTCTTGATGATGAGAGAATATCTATGAAGGTATGTTTTTTTTTATAGCAAATTTTTTTACATATCTTAATTCTTTGTAACTTAAAATAATTATATTTAAACAGATAATATCATATTTAAGAAATCACAAATTTAATGTAAATCTTAAAGTTTTAAAACAGTATATAGAGAATAAAGTATTCCTGTTCTTAGATATTGAAAAAAAGATAACAATATATAAGAAAACAGCATAGGAATAGCTTAGAAAATTAGATTGAGAGTATAAAGAGTGGAAAAAAAATATATATGTAAATAGACATAAGAGAAAAAATGTAGTGCAATATAGACAAATAGTTTTTTTGCTAATAATAGAAGAATTAAATCATGTTCTTCTTAAATATGATAACTAAGATCTTACTAAACTAGTAGAAAAGAGCATTCCTTTTAAAAAAAAGAAACATTATATAATAATATATGATGAGACAATATTAGCTGCAAATAATGATAAGAAAATGAAATAGGGTTCCAAAGGTTTGTTTATATTATAAAATGAATTTCAAACATTATTTGTCTTAAACTTTGAATTTTTAAGTATTGATACTTTTTTTTTTAATTTTTAATTTTTTTTAATTATTAATAGGTGAACATAAATTACATCAAAAAGGACAGAGCAGATGCATTCATGTTAGTGAATTTTTATGTGAACTACTAGGCTGAGTTCATTTAACTGAAGAATAGCATATAGCTTATTCTGAAATTTCAAAATGTTATGTTACAGAATTATTCAAAATTGGAGCAAATTATGAATATTCAATTGCTAGCTAAGCAACTTAAACAGACAATTTTTTTTTTTTTTCTTTTGATAGTCATGTCATAAACTTTATTAAGTTGTTAATCGTAGCTGTAGCCAAGTTATATATGATTACTAATCTACTTAATTTCCTAAGTCTGACATCACCCAGCTGCTACTAAAGTGCTCAGGTGCAATCTGTTGCACTAACCTTAAGGTTAGAACAAATTGTCTGACTAGTTTAAAGAAAACTCCACCACTTCCTTTTTCTTTTTTTAATTACTTCCAATACTCCTTCATTTACCACTTTATTTATCCAAACTTTTTTCCTTTCTCTCTCTTTTTTCCTTTCTAACAAAAGCTTTTTCCTTTCTTCAACTGTTTGGGTCTTTACTACCTGTTTTTTCCTTGTTAAATTACTTCTTTTTTCCTTAGTTATAATTCCTCTTTCTTTTTCCTACTTGTTTACTTTTTCACATCACTTGAACAGACAATTGATATTTTGAAAATTGCATTTCCAGATATGATATTGGTTTTTGGGTTTGATAACAGTTCTAGCTATAGAACTTTCACTGAAGATACATTAATAGTAAACAGAATGAATGTTGGTTATAATAATAAACAACTCAAAATATATCTTAGTTAATTTTCTGATAGCATATTTCAAGAAAAGGTTTTTCTATTAAATCATCTAGACGAAAAAAAAAGAAGTCAACCAAAAGGAATTAAGGAGATAATAACAGAAAGAGGAATATAAGATAAGCAATTAAAAGACAAATATATTAAATGCTCAAAAGATGAAACAAAAATATGCTGTAATAAGAGAAAATTAGCTAGGCAATCAGACTTTATAGAACAAAAAAATGTTCTTGAGAAAATTGTGCTTAAACAAGGTTACAAAATTTTTTTTTATCTAAAGTTTCATTCAGAATTGAATTATATCGAATATTATTAGAAGGCGATAAAAAGGTATACAAGAAGCTACTGTAACTATATTTTTCAAGAATTAGGAAAAACTATACCAGAGACTTTTAATTCTGTAGATGTTATAACAATTAGGAAGTTTGCAAGGAAAGCGTAGAGGTATATAGATACCTATAGAAAAAGATTAACTTTCTCTGCTGCTGAATTTGTAGTAAAAAAATATAAATCACATCGCAGAATTCCTGAAAATATTAAATTGTAATAGTTGTATAATAATTAAATAAAATTATTATAAAAACTTATTTTATATTGTTATAAAATAGGTTTTAGCATATTTTTTAAATATTGTATTTTTATATTATTATATATATTTAGATTTAATTATTATCATTTTTCTTAATAACTGATTAGCTAAAGTTAGAATTAGATTT